TTCATAATGTTTTATTTATTTATTTATTTATTTCCCACCTTACTATTTTTATAAATAATTCAAGGCAGCAAACATATCCAACACACTTTCCTCCTCTTATTTTCCCACAGCAACAACCCTGTGGGTGACTGGCCCAAAGTCACCCAGCTAGTTTTTATGGCTACGGCAGGATTTGAACTCACAGTCTCCCGCTTTCTAGTGCTTAGTGCCTTAACCACCAGACCAGACTAATAAAGCAAATATATTTATCATGTAAAATATTTATTATTTGAGCATAAACATATATAGTCTTACCCGAAGGATAGGAAGAACATCTAGAAAACTCTGGATATGCATGTATTTGGTTTTTTTTTAAAAAAAGGAATTCTGCAGATATGTCCACTGAATTGTTCCTGAGATTATAGAAATGGAAGATGCTCTAGGCAATCAGTATTTTTCTTGTGATGATTCACGATACAGTGCTTTTGTAACTGTTTATATGAACAAATCCACAGCATAAAGGCCCACACTTGGTGCTATTCACTACAACCACTGCTTTTCATTTAGAATAAAATAGGGTTATGGGTAACCATAAAGGAAACTGCATTCGTGAATGAAGGCAAATTTCATTCAGTTTACCTTATTAAAAAACACACATCTAGATTAGAAAATTATGGGGACATGGATGGCAGATACAAGGTGGACCATGACCATTCAAGAATAAAAAGAAGGCATATACAATTTCACTGTAAGGCTGAGATTAATTATTATTAGCAACACAAGTTGCAGCAGCAGCAGACAGAGATCTAGATGAATATAACAGAGGTATGAATATTACTAAGTATTGAACAGAGGGCCAGTGGCAACACCATATGAAGAACCTCTGTTCTTTATTACTATTATTACTATTACCAGTGCTTTTTTTCTATAAAAAAAAAGGTGCCAGAACTCACACACATCATACAACCCGCCTTGCCTACCCTACAAGGTTCCATCCCAAAAAGGTGTTGGAACTCCGTTCTGGGTGTTCTCTGAGAAAAAAAGCCCTGACTATTACTATTTGATTTACTCAACCCCTCTGTATTTGAAATGAGATCAACTGATCTGAATGTACTGCATTGATTTGTATTCGTTTCTTCATGTAACAGGCGGAGAAGGAAAAAAGAGGGGCAATCAGTTAAATATACATGGCATTCAATTATATAAATCCAGAAATAATGGTTACACTAGATCTGATCCTGTAACTGTAGTAGTTGTATCTACTTTTGAAAATTATTTTTATTAACTTTATTGATTTAAAAAAAAATTACAGTTAAAAAATAAAGAAACAGAAAACAAGAACTGAAAAAAGAAAAAGTCAGAAAGAAAAAAGTAAAAGTACAAGGAAGGGAGGAGGGCGGGAGGGAGGGAGGAAGGAGCACAGTAAATAATACATCAAGCTATTATTCTAAGATTAATTTTCTCCACATTATTTCTAATCATACGATTATAATATAATTCTAATCATCATATCCCAAAATTGTTTTTTTCAGTTTCTTGCAAGAAGTCCAAAAATGGTTTCCAAGTGGAAATAAAATTGATCAAATTTCTTTCTTTCCCCAAGGCTGCCAATTTCACCATCTCCGCCAATTCCTTCAGCTTCATCCGTTCTTCTATTGTAAGTATTTGTACATCCTTCCACCTTTGGCATATAAAAGTCTTTCTGCTATTGTCATATATAAAAACAATGTTCCATAAGATGTATCTACTGGTTTGCCCATTAAATCCAAAAGAAAGAATTCTGATTTCAATTGTGCATTTACTTTTAAAATCTTCTGCATCAAAATACATACTTGATCACAGTATTTTCTAGCTTTGTATCTTTTTTTCTCCAAGATTTGAAATAGGCATTCCAAAATATGCCTTGAATCTATGGTAGGTGCTATTCTTTTCAACAATTTGTCACTGAATCTACTTAGTGAAGATTCAAGGCAAACTTTGGAATCACTGAGTTCCCATATAAATCAAATTTGTCATTCGAAAATAGGAACTCAATGATAAATCTTTCTAGTTTTATTGAAATGGAACCAAAAAGCAATTTGAATTTAAACAAAATAAGTGTGGAAGGAAAAAGTAATTTTGTATAAATTTCCCAATCAATATTGATTTCCTTAAATAATTTCCCAATCCATAGGACAAAAGAAATAAAAATATTACACAGCTTCATTCCAAAATCCAGTCTACATTATTGTAGTTATTTCAGTAATAATATCATCAATTAATCAGTAGCTCTGATGTCATTGCCAACTTCTCCCATTTTACTTAATTTAGATCACTTAATAACTACTCTGTTATCTGATAAATATAATGAGAAACTTGTCTTTATGCACAAAAGGTGAATAACAAAATCTTGGTATATATATATATATCAGTTCTTAATTCCAAATACTAGATTATTTTTCTAAATTTAGCAGTGTACAGGCATGTCATTAGAAATATTTTATTTGTATTCATGAGTCACTTTGCTTCTAACCTCATCAACAAGTTAACTGGTTTCTCACAATATGGTATTATTTTTTTCATCACTAGTGTTCTGCTGGTCTTATTCATAAAGGTCCAACAATAAAACCAGTTTAATTGGGAATCCTTGGCAATAACCCTTTAACACAGACTACTTCAATGTGCTCTGTATGACATTATCTTTGAAATCTATCCAGAAACTGTAATTGGTGCAAAATGAAGTGCCCATATCTTATCCCCTTCATATCTAAAAGGTATTATGATTGGCAAGGCAGACTGCTATATCATAATACTGTAGCACACTATATATATTTGTAGGTAATAACAAACTTTTTGAATTGGGCCTGGTACTGATCTGTAGCCAAAGCAGCAACCTACAATAGACTCAGTCCTACTGATTGAATAATTGATTGCCCCAACTAATAATCTGACCATAGAGCATGCTGGAAAGGGAAGGAGGAGTTAAGACTGTACCATTTCTGCCTCTGAATATTGTAATAATAATAATAATAATAATAATAATAATAATAATAATAATAATAATAATAATAATAATAATAATAATAATAATAATAAAGTTGGAAGGGACCTTGGAGGTCGTCCAACCTCCTGCTCAGGCAGGAAACCCTATACCATTTCAGACAAATAGTTGTCCAATCTCTTCTTAAAAACTTCCAATGTTGGAGCATTCACAACTTCTGGAGGCAGGTTGTTCCACTGATTAATTGTTCTAACTGTCAGGAAATTTCTCCTTAGTTCTAGGTTACTTCTCTCTTTTATTAGTTCCCCTCCATTGCTTCTTGTCTTGCCTTCAGGTGCTTTGGAGAATAGCTTGATTCCCTCTTCTTTGTGGCAACCCCTGAGATATTGGAACACTGCTATCATGTCATCCCTAGTCCTTCTCTTCATTAAACTAGACCTACCCAATTCCAGCAACTTTTCTTTATATGTTTTAGCCTCCAGTCCCCTAATAATCTTTGTTGCTCTTCTCTGTACTCTTTCTAGAGTCTCAACATGCTCTCAATTGTCCCTCTGTAGAAAGTGGTAAGGACAGGGGAAGGAACTTTTCTCATGCAACACAGAAAATGCAGATGCTGCTGTGCCCGCTTCACCAGGGTCTCATTGCTGAGTGATCAAGCTAGATTATTTGTTAGCTGCTAACACAGAAGCTTGATGCTACTAACCAACAATAGTAGAACTAATAGTAAACAGTTCAATAAAAGGGTTGACCCAGTATGCATCTGCTAAAAAAAAGCCAGTGTGTTACGAATGATAAAAATGTAGGTGAAAAGAAGGGTGCTAATATAATGCCCTTACATAAATCAATGGCACAACTATATCTGGAATATTGTGTGCAGTTGTGGTTAATAATAATAATAGTAGTAGTAGTAGTAGTAGTAGTAGTAGTAGTAATAGTAGTAGTAGTGTAGTAATAGTAGTAGTAGTAGTAATAATAATAATAATAATAATAATAATAATAATAATAATAATAATAATAATAATAATAATAATAATAATAATAATAATAGAGTTGGAAGGGACCTTGGAGGTCATCTAGTCTAACCCCCTGCTCAGGCAGGAAACCCTATACCATTTCAGACAAATGGTTGTCCAGTCTCTTCTTAAAAACTTCCAGTGTTGGAGCATTCATAGCTTCTGGAGGCAGATTGTTCCACTGATTAATTGTTCTGTCAGGAAATTTCTCTTTAGTTTTAGGTTGCTTCTCTCTTTGATTAGTTTCCATCTGATGCTTCTTGTCCTGCCTTCAGGTGCTTTGGAGAATAGCTTGACTCCCTCTTCTTTGTGGCAACCCCTGAGATATTGGAACACTGCTATCATGTCATCCCTCATCCTTCTCTTTATTAAACTTTATTAGACTGTTTTAAGATGAATTGTGTACCATAGGTTTTGTAGTCATGGGGATTAAATTCATGATGCAATTAAAAACACAATTATTTATTAAATATATTTTTAATAAAGATTTTATTATAGCCTCCAGAATATAATCACTACTAGCTAAAAACTGAAGGCATGTATTTTTGTATCCACGTAGCAAACTTTGACACCCTTGTGTACACTCCCGGGAAATTGGGTCTTCCACAACCATAGCCCCAACTAACAATTCCCATCAAAAACCATTTTCCATCACCTTTATTTTGACATGAAAGAGGTCCTCCAGAGTCTCCCTAAAAAGAGATTATTTTAAAAAGTTAACAATATTTAGAGAGCAATGTTTCTCTAGACAGTATGCATGACAGTATTATTTTAGTGATAAGATTGTTCATACAACTAATGATGGAAAGGGTTTAGTTGACAAGAAAAAAAATAAAACATCATTAAAATAGATATGACTATAATTAATCTAGATTTTTTTCTATCAACTACTAATTTCCTATATTTGAATTTTATTTCTATGGCCCATCAGTTTATCTATAATGTGAAACAGTATAGTTCATCACAGATTAGGGAACCATTTTATCTTCCAGTATGAAAATTACTCAGTAGGAAAGATGATCTAGATATTCCTTGAATAACTTATCATTTTATTAGAGTCATTAAGTTCATCTTGGCTGGTATGCATTCTGGAAGTTGTAGTCCCAAGCTTTCTGAGAAAATGTTCACCATGACAAAACAGAGAGAGAAAGAAGAGAGAACAGAAAAACAGAAAAAGTGGGGAAAAAACACCAGACTGAAGATTCTTATTTTTTAAGTTAATATTTCATGAGTTCACCTCTCATTATTTTATTGAAATGACGTGTCATTTTCCTGGCAACAGTACAGAAGTGATTTTCCCCAGCCTTTTTCTGGTTTTTTTTCCCCAGCTTCCCAGTCTAACCTATAACCATGAATTCTAGGTGGTTCCCAAATCTATGATTATTAGGGGGGAAGGGTAGCAAGTATGCATGCCAAAAAAAGTGAAATCCTTACTTTGCAGCTATCCCTTTTTCCAGACATTATTCCAGCACACAGCATGCGACTTGTGATAAGTCCATATGTTGAATGACAAACTGTCTGATCCACAATTTCCACCTCTGCTTTCTGCAAAATTGCTGGTGTGTCATCATCTAGATTGGGGAAAAGCATAATAAAGTAAGAAAAAAAACATTTCCAGTACCTCATTTTTAATGTTGACCATGATTATACTATACAGCATCATTTTGCATAAACCAACAAACTGTTTCATATGTATTTATTTCATATGGCATAGCATAACATTCATAGAAACAACATATAAAATGTGCATCAAAATATAAAACATCAGAATAGTGAATTATTTTAAAAATACACAGTACAAATGATAAATAAAATTATGTATTCATTTGTATTTTATGTAAACTTGGAATTTAGCTATTAGCTTATTGTTTCCTAAGAATAACATCTTTTGAAATCCAAAGGGCTATGTTCCAAGAAATGTTGTTAATAACATAACATACTTTAAACAAGCAATCCTCAATCGCTTTGTTTTCAGGATCTCTTTACCTTCTTAAAAATGATTGCGGACCCTCAAAGAATTTTGGTTTATGTGTGTTATATCTATTGATAGTTAAATGTATTAGAAATAAAATTTGAGAAATTTAAAAATATTTATTTATTTTAACTTTGTAGATCCCTTGAAAGTATCTCAGGACTTCTGGAGGTCTACAGACCACCATTTGAGAAGCACTGCTTTAGAGTATTCTAAAACTGTTACATTATTTCATTAATCCATGTAATAACCCCATGTTGTAAGGGAGCAGAGTTAGGCCCATGTGGTAGATAGAGGAATTGAAGATGAATTAAACCGCCTGGTTAAACAATTATAAGGCAGTCTAAACTATTCACATTACTAATAATAACAAATCTATAGTGTGATTTTCAAAATAGCATTCTGCTTTCCAGATTTCAGACATCGCTTAAACTGAAACATTTGGATTGGCCCAAATTGTTGTAGTTTGTGAAAAAGTAAACTATGTCCATGTCATATGTAGAGAAGCTGGCAAATGTTACAGGTATGCACCACCACTGTTCAGTGTTGCAGGTATCCAGTTTCCTTTGTTTGGAATGAGCCAATTGTACAAGGTTACCAAATTCTGCAAAAATTTCAATGTAATTAGCTTTTTGATATTATATAATAATCTATCAAATTTGCAAGAGTTTCATGGGCTTGCCAGGAATTTTAAATGATAATCTCTTAAGAATATTGAGAACACTGAGATTTGATCATCCTGCAAGAATTTGGCCATTAAAAACAATTATCTTTAAAAATAAGTTTTAATTTTGGCTTCTGCTGATCTTGTTTAAGAATCACTGAGTGGTTTGTATGTGTGTGTGTGTGTATTTGTATATGCATACATGAACATGTCCACCTGTGATTAAATGTTGCCAGTCCTTAGTCTACAAAGATTTTCCCAACTCAGGATCATCAGTATTTCTTGAAAAAAACAATTATTTGGTCAGAATGTTTAAGAAATTAGATTCTTTTAAATGTTTTATGCTTTTTCCCCTTAGTATTCCCAATTTACAAAGAATCTTTAAAATGGTATTCATTGAATTTTTACACTTTGATTTCCAAAGCGAGAACAGATACTTGGAAGCACTGATGTTAGATGAGATCTGTATATATTAATTATGATAGAATTAGATTCTTTTACAACAGATAACACTGAACAGAATTTACTAGCACATTACATGTCTTACTCTGGTTCTAAATTTGCTTACCTTCCTCCTAATTTCTTTTTTTTAAATAAGAAATGCATTTGAACAAGAATATTTTTTTCTGGAAATTGCATAGATTCAGAGTTGAAAGTTTAGATTAAAAATGCTGCACTGAAAAATAGAGAACTTACCAGAGAAGTCTATGTTAAAAATAGTTTCTTAAGAAATTAAGAAATGGGAAACTTATGTACAAAGGCTTTTTTTAAGTAAATTTGAGAAATTAGGAAAACATATATTGTGATCTAATGATTTATTATATATATGTTCAGACACATAAGCCATACACATAGATCTGAGGAAGCTGGGTGCTTAAGAAATATGAAATATAAATAAATAAATATCAGGATATGGATATCTGGATATCAAGATATAAGAATATAATCTTAAAACAAAGCTATTACAAATTACATGACAAACCAGTTGCCATTCTATAAAATGGGCATTTCAAAAAACCCAGAGATAATTCTTTTGGCTCATGTGTTTAAATTTTCTTTTTAATAATAAGTATTTGTTAAACAAATTAAACAATTTTACTTATAAGATATTTTAAGCACTTCCAGGTATTTCCAAAGGAAAAGCAAGGAGGGTTAGAATGGTAAAACTAGCATCAAGCTTTGCTCCTTTAATAATAATAATAATGATGATAAAGTTGGAAGGGACCTTGGAGGTCATCTAGTCCAACCCCCTACTCAGGCAGGAAACCCTATACCATTTCGGATAAATGGCTGTATTGTATTGTATTGTTGTATTTTTGTAATATAGACAAAAAGGGCAAAACTCACCATAAAATGCTCTGGCACTGCTATAGTCATTCTAATGAAAGCACCACTTCTAATGCTGCTGACCATTTCTTATTTTTACATAAGCCCTTTGTTTATTTGCAACAAATGAATGAATGATACAATGCACTGGGCTTACTTGTTTCCTGCTTCTGTCCCCAACCTGTTACCCAGCATTTTTCTCCAGGGTACACATTGTGCATGATGGGAGGTAAGCATATAGGCCCAACAGACCATCTCATTGCCTCAAGCCAAGGGCTGCTTAATTGCAATAGAGCAATGTCATAATCATAATTTTGACTGTTATAATATTCATGGACAATGATTCTCTTCAAAGTAGAGACAAATTTGGCTTTTCCTTGTGTGTGCATTCCCAAGTATGCTGTCCAAATTCTAGGATCTGATAACCTAAATGAAAACAGAACATTCAAATATCTATTATTGAACATGACCAAAACAAGCATTTATTATTAAATCCTTGAGGCAAAAGAAATTTATGCCTATATCTCAGTGCTGTTCCCCACTAGTGATCCCTATTTACAGGTACAGTGCAAGCAAATGAAAAATAGCATTCTTCTGTCGGTATTCTGAATATGTTAAGAACAGGTCTTGTTTCTTTCTTCTTCACTTAAAGGTCTATGAGAGGGGGGGGGATCACCTTTTTCTAATTTTTCTCTAATCTCCTTGGGATGGGACCAGGGAAAAGGCAAAATGTAGTTTTGCACAAGTGTTTTCAATGGTTGTGTTTTATTCTTTGGAATATAAGTTTTGCCTTATCGTAGGCTAACATTATTCCAGAAAAGTTTTAAACCCATATTTTAAAATGGGATTCATAACAGCTAACAAGAATGGAGAATGAAACTGGCTTTCTGTCTCCTGCTTCAATATCTATGCCTGCTCTGCAGAACATCATTCCCCCTGAGATTTGGATGGCCTCAACCCTGTCAGTGTTCCAAAAGGATTGAAAAATATTCTTATCCCCTCAGGCATTGAATTAAGACGTCAAGTGAGCCAATTGTACCACTGTATAGTTGAAGAATGTAAATGTCTTGAGGATCTCAGCTGCATTGTATTAACATTATAGTATTGTGGTTATTTTTAATCTTATAGTTATGTTTTTAGTTATTCTTAGCCACTCAGAGTTGCAGAAGCAACCCGGATAGTCATAGAAATATTTAAATTAAATGAATTGTTTGAGCAAGGAAGCAGGTAGTAGAGACATTGAGATCTATTTCACTTTAAGTGACTACTCTTGTACCAAAACTGATACACAGTTAGTTAAAACAGTAAGAGTACAATACAATTTTTGAGAGCTTTCAATCCATATCTATTTGCTTCAGAAAAAAGTACAGCTGAGGGGAAAGGACGTAGGAACAAGAAAAAGAGGAAAAAGACTTTCTAAGACACAATGCACAAAAGAGACAGTAAAATTGGAACTTGGATATCTTGAGGAGTTCTTCCCTGTTTCTAAGTAACTAAGCAATTAGGGAAATAATAATAAGTTGCAACTTCTAATTGGGGTCTTTTGGGAAGCATTTGGTCCCTCATTTGTCTGCCCACATAACTGTGGACTTACCCTGCTGATTCTCTAAAGTCCTTTTATGCTAAGGCCTGTGATAATGGAGTCCTTTCAGTGTACAGCCTGATGTCAGACTCCTATACTTCTTGAAATTTGACATTTGCATTAGTAAGTGAGCAAGAAAATATGAAAATATCAGAGGCCTTTGACAGATATTGACATGTGGGAAAATTTGTATGCAGGCTTATATCAAGTTATCTGTGTGTGCATGGATTTGAATATATATAAGAATACACTTGAATGTATATACATGTGTACAGTGTTACTGTACCCATTTGTATTGCAGTTATGCCTGTGTGATGCCCTTTTTCACCTTGGAAAAAAGGGGGCATATATTGATTCATTAGATACACAAACTTGCAGAATCTGCATTGGCTTCTGGAAAACTTCTAGAGTTAATATACATGACTGCATTCAGTTGTGGTTGATGCCCTTGTCTTTTCTTCAGTCTCTGCCATTTCCTTGTGACAGTGAATCGGGCATATGGTGGTGGGGGAATCCTATATTTGCACTGAAGAAGTTGAATAACATGAGCCACAAAGAATTATTACAGGCTAATGTGGAAGAGTTAAGACTACCACATCCAGGGTTCAAAAATCTGTACAACCACTAGATGGCACCTAGTAATTAACATTTTCTATATTTCTTTGCTCTCATCAAGTGGTCATCTGGATTTTTGCATCCAGGAGATAGATAGCCCTAGGAAAGGGAGATATTGAAATGCTAAGAACAGAACAATCTTATGCCCTGCTTATTAAACTAGTTTTATAATTGAATGTTGTAATGTCAAAATTGCATTGTATGGCTGATTGTTGCAGATTAAGGGAAAAACAATATCACCTCTGTGCTCTAAAAGAGATCACATGCGTGACATGAGATTAAAGGAATATCTATTATAATAATTTTATCTTCTTACCTGTTCCCCTGAAAACAATGGGCAGCAGAGAGAAGCCACTCTTTTGATATCACAGAGGCTCCACAATAAGCAACTCCAGCAAAATGCAAGCTGGCTTGCCAGGGCCATTCTCCTTCGTGGGTCTCAGAACCTCCCACAATCCGGTTGTGAGCATTGCTGTATCTAGGACTGCCACAGCCTTTTGAAAGAATGTAACAATTTAGCATGGTTTTTGCCCAGCAAAACTGCACTAGCAATTGATTTTAATTACTTAGATTGAATCAATTGCTATCCTATTTGTTTTTGTGAAATGCCGCACAGCATATCCAGAAGGGTATCCAATCTTTTCAGGCTTATGGCAGGAGCTGACCTATGCCAGAGTCTGTGATGGATGGGAAAAGGACAAGGAAGTACGGTACCTTGTGCCGGGACAAAATGTCCTAGCTCCTACAAATTATAGTCAGTTAAAATTAAATTGACATTATTTGTTACTCTCTATGGGTTTAATAATTCTTCCTTTGTCTCACTAAAAATTACATGTTTCATAAGGGCTCTAAAACCTATCCCTAGCAAGCAGCTCTGGAATCTCAACCTGTGTAAACCCTCAACCATGGAACGGTTCATTGGTCTCTACTCCAAGCATTATCCAGCCACACTTCAGATAGCTTCAGCTATGTGGCATATCTAGAGAACATGCATTAAAGAACTAGTAATTCCTAAGGGATGGAGGAATTTTATAGAAAGTCACTGCCTAGCAAAGTAGCTATACACTTTAGAAAATGGTTTGATCTTGTAGAAGACAGCTACCTAGCTGCAGGCCCATGAAAAAAAATAACACATAATAATATATTATAATAGCAAAAGACATGTACTATGTTTCATTTTGGTGCTCTAGTACAGGAATTCTTGGCCCTTTTTTTTTTTTTTTTGCTTGTCACTATCTTCTGAGACTTTTGTGTTGTACTTCATTGTTGAAATTGGCTGATTATTAGCTGGGGGAAAAGTACTTTACCTGTACTGTACTGCTTATTAATCTAAACCAGGGGTATCAAACCTTGGCAACTTTAAGACTTGTGGACTTCGATTCATCTGGCTGGACAATTCTGGTCTTAAAGTTGCCAAGATTGGATATCCTGCTCTAAATGGAATCATGTAAAAACTGTGGTCTCCTAGAAATGTTGCATGCTTCCCTAGAGATAATATAGCTCACGTTGAGAATCACTGCTCTAATATATATGGCTGAAAGTAAATTTATGCAAAGTATTTATGGAATACTTCGAAAGTACAGAAAATTACAGGCAACTGTTTTATAAAGGAAGATTATCTCCATATCTCATTAATTTTAATGATGGGCTAGATAATCTCCATCCCAGTGCCTTTACTGTCTATATAGAGCTCAAAATATATTATTTAGTTATGAAGTATTCTTGGGAGGTTGAAAGCTATAAACTGTTTTATCTTAATGAAATAATAATTGAAACGGAAGGTAGTCAATTCCAATCTTTGATGGGCAAACCCACCAATCTAAATATTAGAAATATAAATTTGAATATAAATAAAATTGTGTATGTTTGATAAAAACAATGAGGATTAGACCAAAAGGGCAATGAATATATAGTGTATGAATATACTTGTATATGTCCTTCAAATATACTGTACTTACTACAATTTTCATCACTTTGATCAAGACAATCCAAGATTCCATCACACTTCGCATTTTGTTTCTTGAAGCAAATACCATTGTTGCATTTAAAAGTATTGCTGGTACAGGGAATGCCTAAAAAGCAATAACTGTAATGCTCAAACAATATCAGTTGTCTAAAAGTCAGCACAGTCATTCAAGAATTCTTTTTGTAAACACTCCTCACCCTTGGTATAAATGTATAAATGTAAATATAAGTAAACTAAACAAACCATTTCGCCATCTGTGAAAGAATCCTACAGAGCAGCATTTCTCAACCTCAGCAATTTCAGATGTGTGGACTTCAACTCCCAGAATTCCTCATTCTGGAGCTAGTGGTCACCATTGCAGATGCCCCTTCTACAGCCCCAATGCAATGCCCACATTTCCATTTCCTTTCTTTAGAAAGTTTTTTTTTTTAATCTTCCAACTTTACTGTTCTTATATTTCCTGTTGGTTTTCCACACATTTGCACAACTCACTTAGTTCTTATAAACTGGTAGGCAATTTCTATTACTTTTGTACGCCAGGATAAGATTGATGTGTTAAAGAAACAACATGAAGCAACATGAACCTGCCAGTGAATTCCAAAGGCAAGATTTGAACCAAAGGCTTCTAAACAGGTTCATCATTTGTACACATGTAGAATATCTATGTATGTAGAAAATGATGGGGCTTCAGTCTATCGCTGTGCTTGCCATTTAGCTTGTCCCCAATTGTAGATACTTTTGCGTACAATTCTAATTTCTAATCTGCTACAGAATGCAGAATGAGATACATTTAATTGTTTGTAGGGTGGGACTCACTTTCCGTGCAATGTAATTCATCCTGACCATCTTTACTGTTATTTATTCCATCGCAGATAAAAGAATGGTGCTGTGTTAAGAAGTTGCTACTACAATTTTGTTTGTCTATTAAAACAAAAGAAGATAAGCAACATATCACGTGGAGAAGCAATACAAAAAAGCAGCCAACTACAATTATTACTATATTATTAGTTGTTGCACACTACAGATACTTAACCACAAAACAGTTCATCGCTTTCATCAAAGCAGTCATTGATCCCATCACAAAGCTGAATTTGTTGGATACATAACCCACTGTGGCATTCAAAAGATCCAAATGGACAAGCTAAAAGGCAAAAGGGGGAAAAAAATCCTGTGACTTCAGGCTTTCTATAAACTTCTTGTATTAAAGTTCAAGTTATGAGAAAGCAAGCAGGAGCTTTAAGAAAATAAGTCCAAATATAAGCATGATTAAATAGTTCTCTAGAACTATTGCTATTAATTTCAAAGAGCCAACTGTCCTACTGAATATTCCTTTTAATAAAGTTGTAGAAATGTTACTTTCAAGCTGCTGTAAAAATGAGATAATGAAAGATACAAGCTGAAACTTATTTATTTTCAGGATTCATTTGTAATTCATATTTTCTCACGATCTATACACCAAGAAAAGCTATATAGAGCTTGGATTCTGGACTGGGAAAGCTAAAAAATGTCTGTAGCTCTAATGTGTCTCTCTGAGTAGTATCTATTTCCAATTTTCTTCTTTCTGTAGCTTTCTGATCTCCATTTCTATCCTCTAATCTAAACTCAGGAATAAACTACATATCTCCCTATGGGTACACTGGTATAGATTGAAAGAATAATAAAACTAATTCTGTATTTTTAGAGTGGCCTTTCTCAAGTGGTGTCACTTGGGTTCTACAAAAAATCATGATTAACATGAAAATCATTTTTTTTCTATGTGCCATCATCTATTTTAGGCTGAGAGATGCTTCTTCCTCATTTTAGTCGTTCACATGAAAATGAGCAATAGTGGGATTTTCTTTCCCAATTATTCAGCACTTCTAGTAGCAGTACTCAGCTCATCTGTCCACGTATCAATGAAGAGATATGAAAGAAAATTATGTTAATAATATCTGAAATGAACTAATTATCTATATTTTTATTATTAACGTGCAATTTCATTTTATACCCATTGTATATTACAGTTTTAGTTTTCATGCTATGCAAGATTTCTAAACAATCTAGGAGTGCAGCTATAATTACAGTACATCCATTGGGACTAACACAAATGAATCAAAACCTTCCACCTGATCATCAAATCATTCCAATTTTAGCAGATTAATTTTTGATATGACAATTTGCTGCAGTATACAGTTACACATCTTTTGAATCTAGCACATCAAGCTTCCTTAATTATAAGTGGTAGATATTGAATAGAAGCTAAGAAAAGATAATATCTTTATAGCTGGATACATCTGCATGCCAGTAAGGTTTTCTAATAATTTTTACAGTCAGTCTTACGCTGGCTGATATTGTAACTTCCATATTCCACAAGAAAGGGCTGTTCAGAAAGCTTGGAGCTACACTGAAATTCCATGTTAACCACCACGTTTGCCACACGGAATATTGTTTGATGATCAATGTAGTAGCCACAATACCTGCAAAATGGATGATATAAACTTATGCAGACCATCTCTTGCAAAGAGGTGAATAGTATAATATAGTTACAGTATAATTTTGCATTACCACATTTCTAAGTCTACATGCCAAAAGCTTCACCTAGCAGTAGATTATCTCTATGCAATGCTCTATTTTATTCCCTAAAGGTTTCCATGATTCTCCTTTGCGATCACCATTAAGTACTTTCTTCTGTATTTCCCTAACTGAAGACAGATTTTGATTCTATTCCACTCCAAGTTTGCACCCACTTTCTTTTGTTTTCCTCCTGTCTTAATGTATGGATGAGAAAAATGATAAGGATCAAATTCTTATCTTTCACCTAGCATTTTCCCAACGTGTTTTTGTGTTTTATACATGTCTTACTTAGCTTATCTGTTGGGACTAATAATACCTTGCTTGATGGACAAATAATTAAATCATATTAATTATCAGTTTTAATACACAATAGTTCCTTTGTTTTACAGTAAAACATGCTTCTAAGGACTGATAAGACTAATTTAAATTTCTCCATACAAATGTACACATCTTTAGTTATATTCTTTATGCCTCCTGAATTTTATGTAGTATTGATACAATATGCTAAAAGATACGCGCGCACACACATACACACACACACACACATGAACTGCAAGGAAACAACTTGTACATTGCAGTGATAATTAAAAAACTTTCTAAATTATCACAAAGAGACAACCATACTGACCCTTCCTTATCTGTCAAACTATGTTTCTATAACTGTAACATTAAAAACTCATAAGTGTATTATTTCATATGCAATTCTTTTCATTTATTCCTGCACCATTAAACGATTTACAATATATGAACACACTTACATAAGCTCATTAATTTTCCACCATCCACGTTCACAGCCTTTAATGCTTTTTTCACTGATCATATAATTATGAAACATCAGCGCAATACCAAAGTTCTTCTGAGAAGCCTGATTTTAAGAAAGAATAAAAATATCTGTCTTTTCTTTTTTCAAAGGGAATAAATTTTCTGGCAACTTTTACTGTGTAGAAATAGGGGCATGTAATACTTTTTATCAGAACTTATTTTATATGCCACAAGAATAAAATACCTTCTTGGAACTGCTGAAAGGACTGTGTCGTAAACAGATACAGTAGGTGGTGTTCTATCCATCCCCCTCTATTGAAAGAGGGATGTTCAATTTTAACATAAATCGCCTCTTTTATCCCTCTTTCAAACCAGTGGTCTTCTCTACCCAGAGTTGGACTTTGCTGTCTTCAAAAGAATCACCTTGATCTTTCAAATGTAAATGCTGAAAATTGTCCTGATGGGTTTGTTCTCCTATGTTGTGCCATGCATTTGTGAAGTGGTTGTTTTGTTTCTCCAATGTACAAATCTGCACATATCTCAGTACATTGTACTGCATAAATTACATTACTCAGTTTGTGTCTGGGTATTTTATCATTGGGGTGGACAAGCTTCTGTCTTAGTGTATTCTTGGGTTTAAAGTGCACATTGGTTGAAAATCCTCCTGAATTTTTCAGATATTCCTGCAATATATGTAATGACAGTGTTGCAATGTTACAAGTATTGTGCCTTGTGAATGGCATTGACCTTCAGTAGGTGTTGCAGGAAATTGGTGACCTTTTTTTTTATAACTGCTGGTAAGATCTCTCTTTGGAGTCTTATACAGTTGCAAGAAAAAGTATGTGAACCCCTTGGGATAACACAGAGTTTTGCATGAATTGGTCATAAAATGTGCTCTGAACGTCATCTAAGTCACAACAATAGAAAAACACAGTCTGCTGAAAATAATAATGCACAAACATTACATGTTGCCATGGTTTAATTGAACATAACATGTAAACATTCACAGAGCAGGG